GGAGCTCGGGTTGAAGGCCCCCTCTGGGCGGCCTTCGGAGCACCAGATCCCCTCGTCGTCGTCGCCGTCGTCGTCGTCGCCGTCGCCGCCGCCGCCGTCGCCGCCGCCGTCGTCGCCGTTGTCGCCGTCGTCGCCGTCGCCGTCGTCGCCGTCGCCGCCGTCGTCGTCGTCGCCGTCGCCGTCCTCGTCGTCGCCGTCGTCACCGCCGCCGCCGCTGCCGTTGCCGTCGTCGCCGTCGTCGTCGCCGTCGCTCTCGCCCTCGCCCTCGCCGTGCCGCCGCCGTCGCCGTTGTCGTCGTCGCCGCCGTCGCTGTCTCCGTCGCCGTCGATCGATCGATCGAGTGTCGAGGTTTTCGGACGTTTTGGGTCTCCGGAGGTTTCCGGGCGTTTACAACAAACGAGTGTCGAGGTTTTCGGACGTTTTCGGACGCGACATCGAGAGGATTGGAAAGAGATGGAACGAGAGAGAGAGAGAGAGAGACAGACAGACAGACAGACAGACAGACAGACAGACAGACAGAGAAAATGATACGTATACATGTGCATGTGTATATACAGAGGGAAAGAAAACTATATTCATAGAGAGAGGGAGAGAGGGAGAGGGTGAGGGATAGGGAAAAGGATGACGAGACGGAAGGGGAGAGGGGAGGGAAGGCTTTCAAGCGAGGGCGGGGCTCAAAGTGAGAAGCCAATGCGCACGCGCGCGGGCGAGACGGATGTAGACATGGGCGCGCGAGGGGGCCACATTGGATCAGGTCAAAGTTAACATTTGTGCTCTGATGAACATGTGTGTTTTGTCGCCCCACCCCACCCGGTTTTGGTACCCCTACGGTTTTAGTACCCCTTATGGTCCTGCCGACCCCAGGGGCCGCCCCGCGCGCGCGAACTAGAAATACTGTTAGTACTGTTAACCAGTTACCGGAGATCTTAGCACGCCCTGGCCCGTTGGGCCGGCGAATATTTGCGCAGATGTTAGGGGAACGAAGAATGACAGAAACATGAAAACTCGAAGGTCCGCGCGGATTTGTCGGATCGGCGCTGGGATCCCTTGGCGGCGCATTTGGCGCCGCCCCTGGCGCGCTCCGCGCACCAGGGAGGGGGGTCGTACAGCGCGGATCCAAGAACTCCGCGCGGACCTCAGAATTTTCATATTTACGTCATTTTTTGTTCCCCCATATGTGCGCAGATGTTGTTCTCCTCCACGAGGTATTACTCGAAAGCCTTGCCCACACGCACCCCGGGAGAGGTCCAGGGAGCAGCGATATCGTTACATTATTGTTCCTCCGTCAGGAGACTTTGGATGAGACCGTCCGGACCTGGCTGGCTTGCGAGACCGTCCACTAGACTCTAGGCCTCCTAGATGGAGTCGGAGTAGATGGGGTCGGAGGGTCGCACCGCATCGCCGATGCATCGCCGATGCGGCTCGGTGTGGAGCCCGATTTGCTTCGCGGCGACGTTGCCGGTGCATCGCCCACGTCGACGACGCATCGCCAGCGCATCGCCGATGCATCGCCGATGCATCGCCGGCGCATCACCGACATATCGGCGATGCGGCGCGATCCTCCGACCCCATCTGCGCCGACCCCATCTAGGAGGCCTCCTTAGAGACTTTGGATGAAATTGGAGGGCCCTTTGCGCCGCTTTTCGTGGTGGACCACAGCGCGGGGAGCCGGACTGCCACTGCACGCGACCGCGAACAGGGGCTGAGCACGAAGGCGAGCTGCTCTGGGCGGCTTGATCCATCGATATTTGGGCTCCTGAGAGAGAGGAGAGACTAGAGTAGAACTAAAAACAGCTGGTCGTAGGTATAATGTAATTAGGAACCCCCAGCAAAAGTTTGGAACGCAGGGGCCTCCCGATTTCCCTCTTTTTCTCCTTTTTGGGTGGTCATGTCGTCGTTTCCCCCCCCAGCCCTGGTCGCCCAGCGCGTCCCCAGTGTCTTGGGCACGCGAGAAAGCCAACAGCTGCCCCCCCCGCACTGACCCGCAGGGACTCGTACTCACAAGGTAGCGAGCCTAATTATGGGGCCACATCGGAGCCCGCCCCTTGAAGCTTCGGGGTATGCCCCCTGCCGGCCCGAATGAGAAGTCAGGGCTGCTGGACAACCTAATCGCAGGGGGTTTGACCAGTCGCGCGCACGGGCCCATCATAGGTATTGACGTTGATCCCCTTATGCAGATGTCCTGTCCTGTCCTGTCCTCCTGTGCGTCCTCCCCCTCCTCCTCCTCCTCGTCCTCCTCCTCCTCCTCCTCCTCCTCCTCTGCGTCCTCCTCCTTTATTCAGCAGATACAGCAGATCCCTGCACTCTTTCGCCTCCGTTTCCTGGCGTCGAGGCGTCCAGCCTGTGTCGCCATGGATCGACGAAGCAAAGCACGCCGTAAACATAAGCTTTCTGAGGCCAGCGCGGATCTCTTGGATCTGCGCCTGTGCCCCCCTTGGCGGCGCCTCTGGCGCAGCCACGGAGGAGCGTCCAGCGCCGATCCAAGAATTCACGCGGACACCCGCGAGTTTGTGTGCTATGGCAGTTTCGATTTCTCCTGATGCGTCGACGCGAGGCAAGTGGGTCCTGAGTTGGTCGCATTTTGTGGCCCCTGGGGGCCCTCCACGGGTCTTCGGTTTGGCAGAACACGACTCAGGACGAACATTGGGGCGTCAGAGTGCCCTGGGGTCCAGGACCCGTTTCTGTCGGGACCCGTCTGTTTCATGTCAAGTTGCCGGGACAACGTTACATGTCAGCGTCAGCACAGACACCTCCCGCGCATCGATGCGGATGACAGCGGTGTGGACGGCAGGCATGTGAGGTTCGAGTTCCGACGTGGTGCGAGCGAGGCGCGAGCCCACGATGTAGCGTAAGCCAGTTTGTCACATTTACTCAGTTGCCCCCTGGTGCGGTCTCCTGCCCATTCATTATTATCCGTGAGGGCTTCTTCCCCTGCCGCCGGCCCCCTCTCTCGGAGCATGCGCTATGCAACAGCTATGTCATGAGGCCTTTGCGCTGTCGTGAAGCAGTATCGGAACTTCATGCGAGGCCGACTCGTACTGAGCAAAACCAATAGATGCCCAGAGGGGTTACCACACCTGGCGATTGGTAAGACGTCGTGACCCTGCCGATCTGAATGAGGGTGCCGCCGAATTTCAGAAATGTAGCAAATCTTTTTTGTTTTTGGACACTGACCCCGCCGATCTGCGTGAGGGGTGCCACCTTATTTCCGAAATGCTGCGAATTCGTAAGTTGTTGGACCCTGACCCCGCCGATCTGCGTGAGGGGTGCCAGCGAATTTCAGACATGTGGTAAATCCGTATAGTTTTTGCGCCCTGACACCGCCGATCTGCGTGAGGGGTGCCACCGAATTTCAGAAATGTAGCAAATCCTTTGTGTTTTTGGACCCTGACCCCGCCGATCTGTGTGAGGGGTGTCAGCAAATTTTAGAAATGTGGCAAATCCTTTGTATTTTTGGATCCTTACCCCGCCGATCTGCGTGAGGGGTGCCAGCGAATTTCAAAAAAAAAATACAAATCTTTTTTGGGACCCTGATCCCGCCGATCTGCGTGAGGGGTGCCAGCAAATTTGAAAAATGTGGCTAATCCCCTTTGTTTTTGGACCCTGACCCCGCCGATCTGCGCGAGGGGTGCCACCGAATTTCAGGAATGTGGCAAATCCGTTGTGTTTTTGGACCCTGACCCCGCCGATCTGCTAGAGGAGCGCCAGCAAATTTGAAACATGTGGCAGATCCCTTGTGTTTTTGGACCCTGACCCCGCCGATCTGCGTGAGGGGTGCCACCGAATGTCTGAAATGTGGCAAATCCTTTGTGTTTTTGGACCCTGACCCCGCCGATCTGCGTGAGGGATATCAATTTTTACCCCCCCAGAAATTCTGAGAACCATCCCAGGGCGTGGTAAAAATGCCCGTTTTGGGCCTCCCCCCCTCGCGCGGTCCATCAACAAGGAACAGTAAGCAGCAAGAAGTCAACAAGGAACAGTAAGCAGCAAGAAGCAGAATTGTAACAGTGGAATCTGGAAGCTGCAACTGGCACAGGAAACTGCGAAGCCTCGGCCAACAGCCTGGTGGCCCCACAAGGGGGCCGGCGGATTTAGTCCTGCCAGTCGCGCGCTCGTCTGCCCACGCGGCCTCCCGCATGCAAGGCTCATGCATGCATCGGTGGCCGAGGGGTGGTAATGTGACGTACGCGACAGACTGAGTATGCGATGGCATCACGACGATGCGGAAATCCAGCATGACGGTGGCATTGACAATGTTCTCATTTCTTTCGTGGCTGGAAGGCATGGGACAATGCGATCCCAGTAGCGAAGTGCTGGGCTGCGGGAGGCATCCACATCACAGGAATTGTTTGACACCGATTTAGTTCAGCAGTGCGGGGTACTCACGAAGGCCAGCATAACGAGTGCCCGCCATGAAGCATGCGAAGGGTTTGCCGATATGGAACGGGGGCGCCATGTGGGCGCTGCCACTTGGGCTTCAGGTGGAACCCACTATGGGGCCGCGAAACGTGTGAGGGGTGCTCCGCAATAAGGCGGGGCCGCCCCTGGGGCATTCGGTGGAGTTCCCTGTTGGGCAACGAAGTGCTGTACTGGGCGGGAGAGATACATGCGAACACCGCCACTGGGACCTTCGCTGGAGCTCCCCATGGGGCCACGAAGCGCTGTGCTGTGTGGGGGAGGCGTGTGCGCACACCGCCACTGAGGCCTTCGGTGGAGCTAACACCGCCACTGGGGCATTCGGTGGAGCTCCCTATTGGGGCCACGCCCGTCGCGTGAGCTTCGGCGTAAGGTCGCTACGTCATCTCGCGTAAGACCCGTTTTTGATCTCCGCTCGGGTGAACGTGGCAGGAGAGTGTCCTATGTTTGGTCCGAGGCCTGCTGTGCTGCCCCTCCGAGTTCTCGGCCGGCGAGGGCGGGCTCGAGCCCGGGGGGCGAGGGCGCGCGCCGTGCCCCGGCCCTCCCCGCGGCGGCCCGCTGCTCTCCCGCCACGGGCCCAGCAGGATGAAGGCCGAGACCTTCCCGATGTCGGACAGCACCTGGCAGAGCATCTCCGACGACGCGAAGGCGGGCGAGGGTGATCTAAGTCAGGGACCGACCGCAAAGCTGTGTCGCTTGGTTTGGGCCACTGTGTTTGTTGTTCGTTCCGACTTTCGTTGTTGTTTCGTTTCGTTTTTTTCTCCGTTGTTGCTGCAAAGTCCCCGTTTCGTCGTTCGTTTTCGTTTGGCAACGGCTTCGTTTTTAACGCTCGTTTGAAACGTCGGGCCTCCCTCGTTTCGTTATTCGTTGTAAACGCCATTTCGTTTTAAACCTCGTTGTGGTCGGTCCTTGCCTGAGTTGGAGCACAGTCGAGGCGCTTAAGTGAGAACCGCTTTGGGCTCAGGATGGGGCTCCTGGCTTCGGGCCACCCCTCGGGCTCTGGTCGGGGAGCATTCGGATGCTGCTAGAAGTTCGGCAGCAAATCATGGGAGCCTGGTATACCCTTTTGATTCCGTCTTTAGCGTCGATCAGCGTCTGGGAGTCAAAGGGATAGCGCCGATTCAGCGTCGGCTCGCGTCGGTTAGTATCGATTTAGCGACGATTAGCTTCGACTAGCGTCGATTTGTGTCGAACCGCAAGAGCCGACAAGATGGTATGGGAGGCTCCCATGAGTTGCCACCGAAGCTTGAAGTGCCCCTAGCTCAAGGTGCCCCCAGGATTTCCAAGGAGGTCCCCACGGCCTCTAGAGCCACCGTCGCGAGGCTCACAGGGCTCCAGGGGCTCAATAACTGAACGAAAAGCTGGGGGTACCGCGGGCCCAGGGCACCTTTTTAGCAACCCCCGGAACATGGTCGTGGCCGAGGCTCGCCGTGGCCAGAGAGGCCCTTTGGGTTCCATCTCTGGCGTTTCCCGCGGTGGCGCGGTGGCTGCAGTGTGGGTCTGGCGCAGACGCGTCGGCTGCGCGAGGTGCAGTCGCTCACATCCGCCGTGCAGCACCGTGCGCACCAGCGCGCCGTACCTGCGTGGGGCGACAGCTGCTCCGCGGGCGACACCCAAGCCAAGAAACACCCTGCTTGCCTCCAGGGTGCCTTGGGTTTCTTGGATTTCGATGGTTTTGCTGTGGCAAGCGTGACTTTCCCACGCCAAAAATCAAGGGACGCCCTGGGGTCTCAGGGTTAGGTTTCTTGTGGAGGGTTTCTTGTGGTCGAGCCCCTACTGTATCCACCGTGCAGCGACCCATAATCGATCGATGCTGAACGACCTGACGTTTCGGAAACGACCGACTGTTCAAGGTTGAACGATCCCCGCGGTGTCAGAAACCAACGCCAGGGTCGACGCGACACGATCCCGCGGTAATTACACAACAGCTTTCACGCGCAGCCACTGCATCCAGCGCGCAGGCGTTGGCACCAAGGCACTAACTGTTGCAGGTGCTATTGCACCTCTCCCCGCGGACCCATCTGCGCCAGACCCACAGTTCCAGCCGAAGGATGAGCCGGAAGACGAGCAGTAGGACGATGAGGAAGGAGGATGAGGAGGAACAGCCGCAAAAGCAGGAGCAGAAGTGGGAGGAGCGGGAGGATGGCCAAGGGAAGGCGGAGGAGGGGAAAGGGGATCGACAAACTAAATATGGCCCGCGCTGAGGCGAGAGCGCCATTCTGAACGACGGGGGCAAAGTTCCGAATCTGAAATAAGACCAACGTTGCAGCGGGAGCAGCAGTTTGTACGTCTAAAACGCTCCGATGGAAAAGAACACCACACGTTCAAATGCTGCTCGTCAGTGCACCCGAAAAAATACATGCGGCAGAGAAGCTGACCCGCTCAGGCCGAATCTGGGGAGACAGGAGAGCAGTGCGCATCGGAGGTTGGGGGGTGAGGTCGCAGTGCAACGGAGACCCCCAACCGGGCAATCGTTGCGTTTCGTTCGTGTCGTGCGTGCGGGCGAGGCGAAGCTGCGTGGGCGCGCGAGAGGAATGAACCCGCCGCTGCTAGGGCGAAGTCAAGACAAATGTTTATCCTCCGTCCGTCCGTCCGGCGGTGGCCCTTGCGGTGTCCCGTGGTGTCCCGTGGTGTCCCGTAAAGTGAGATCGATAGTGAGGTCGATAGTGAGATCGATGAGATCGATAGTGAGATCGATTGAGTCAGATGCTGGTTCCCCCCCTCTTCCCCACCCACAACCTCCTTCTCACCCGAAGGGTAGTGGTATAGGTATCGAAAAAGTGTACACGATGGGGAGAACGATGGGGAGAAATGAACTGATTACCATATGTCTGATCTGGATGGCTCCTCCGTGAACTGTGTTGGTTCTGTCTTTTCTGGTGGGAGGACGCACGGACGCTGAACTCAGCTTGTTTCTTGGCCTTGGCCCTCCTCGCCCCGGACCGTGTGTTTTCGTGGATCGAACCCGGACCTCTGGCCCCTGGTCCGAGCTTCAGTCCCCATGCCCTGGCCCTGGACCCCCACTCGCCCCGACCCTGGCCTTGGCCCCAGCCCTCCTCGCCCCAGACCCTTTAGTTTCGTGGTTCCGTCCCCCTGGCTCTGGCCCCCAATTCCCTGGCCCTCTCGCCCCCCACATGCCCCTCCTCCTCTTTCTCTCCTCGACTGTGCAAGAGCCAGGGCACGCGTGCCACTTGTTGTTCGAGCTCAGCGTCTTCGCCTAGATTCCGAATTTCAGGGTCTGGCCAGTGCTCCAGCTGTATAAGGTATAGGGGGGGAGGCAGGATTTGTCCGGCCGAAGCTGGGCCAGCAGCTGACGGCAAGTCACGTGAGGCATTGGGATCACCGAAGCGTGGCGTTGTTCTTTTCTGCAAAGGGGAATCAGCAACATGACAACAACAAAGCAACAACAACAATACTTTTACCCTCACGCGCGATGTTTCCACACGAAGCATACGACCATCATGATAACCATCCACATCATGGGGGACTCTTGTTCTATAGCGGGGACCGTTATTCCCATGCCCAGATATCCCGCCCAATGAGGTCTTGCAAACACCTCCTCCGAGGAATTTCAACATATCCCGCCTCGAAAACACATGCCCGCGCCTTGCTTCGCCGAGGCGAGACCGCCAGTGGAACCCCAGCGAAGGGTAAAGCACAAGGAAATATCGAACGACAGGATTGCCTTGGTGGGGATGGGGGCTGTCGGCGGTGAGGCAAGGACCTGGCCCTGAGTAGAAAGGGAGGAAGTCTCGAGCAGGGCTGCTCTTGTTGCTGGGAGCGGCGCATAGAAGGAACACCGCCTTGAGTAAGAAAGGAGGAAGCATCCAGTGGGAGCCGTGGTCTTGTCGGGACTGGGGCTGTCGGAGGCGATGAACAGCACCGTCCCTAGGAAAAAGAGGGGGAATCTCGAGTGGGAGCGTTGTTCTTGCTGGGAGCGGCGCCAATTCAAAGAGAGTAGGGCGCCAGTCCAGCGTAAAACGGAAGGAAGTCTCGGGCTGGAGCGCTGGTTTTGTCAGGGCGGCGGTTTTCGGCGGCGAGGAGGAGCACCACCTTGAGTAACAAGGGAGGAAGCATCGAGCGGGAGCCGTTGTTTTGTCGGGACGGGGGTTGTCGGCGGCGAGGAACAACACCGTCTTCAGGAAAAAGAGAGGAAGCTTCGAGCGGGAGCGTTGTTCTTGCTGGGAGCGGCGCCAATTCAAAAGAGAGGAGGGCGCCAGTCCAGCGTAAAACGGAAGAAAGTCTCAGGCTGGAGCGCTGGTTTTGTCGGGGCGGCGGTTTTCGGCGGCGAGGAGGAGCACCGCCTTGAGTAAGAAAGGGAGGAAGCATCGAGCGGGAGCGTTGTTTTGTTGGGGGCGGCGCCGATGAGAGAAAGACTAGCGCGCCAGTCCAAGGTAAAACGGAAGGAAGTATCGAGCGGGAGCGCTGGTTTTGTTAGGACGGCGGCTTTCGGCGGCGAGCAAGAACACCAGCCCTGAGCAACAAAGGAGGAAGTCTCGAGCGGGAGCGTTGTCGTTGTTGGGGGGCCGGCTTGGGCGGACCCCCAAACCGCTCGAGCGTGAGCTTCATTTTCTATGAAAATGTAGCCGGCGCCTCGGCGAGAGTGCCAGGGCGCTTGTAAGGGCTCCAACAATAATGATTCTTTAGTAATTAACATTCAACAACAAGAACAACAACAACAACAACAGCAACAGCAACGGCAACAGCAACGACAACGACAACGACAACGACAACAGCAACAACAACAACAACGAAAACAACAACAACAACAACAACAACAATAACAACAACAACAACAACAACAACACCAACAACAACAACAACAACAGCAGCAACCACAACAACAACAATCAGTTTAAGACTGTTCGCTCTTACTTACTGCCACGCGTGTCTTACATTCTGTATATCCCAACCCTCGACACCCGCCCACTTCGTCTTCGATTGCACCCCCCTTTTGGGAGGGAAATCTTCCTTATCGGACACTGACTGAAGTGCGAGGAATTCTCGAGCGAAAGCGCCGTTCCTGAGTTCTCGGGGGCCTCTCTGGCCAGGGGCTCTCGGAATACATCTAGAGAAATATCGAACGGGAATCCTTGTCGCCGTGTCTGGGCCTCCACCAACTTGCCTGAAGTACGAGAGAATCTCGAGCGAGAACACCACTCCTTAGTGCGGGGGCCTCTCTGGCCAGGGCTTTCCTGGGAATGCATCTTGAGGAACTATCGAACGAGAGCCCTCGTCGTCGTAGTTGGGCCTCCACCAATTTGACAGAATCGCGAGAACCTCTCGAGCGAGAGCGCCTTTCCTGAGTTCGGGGGCCTTCCTGGCCAGGGGCTCACGGAGTAAATCGTGAGGACGTATCGAGCAAGTGCCTTTATCGTCGTGGCTGGGCCTCCGCCAACTTGATTGACTTGCGAGGCAGTCTCGAGCGAGAGCACCGTTCCTAAGTTCGGGGGCCTCTCTGGCCAGGGTGTCTCCGGGTAACTTGTGAGGAAGTATCGAGCGGGAGCCCTTGTCGTTGTAGCCGGGCCTCCAAGCGCCCACATTTACATTCAAGCCAACGCTAGCGCGGAAGCCTCGCTTTCAGAGAAATTATAGCCGGCGTCGAGGCGAGAGCGCGCGGAACCGCTTCTGGAGATCAACAATCATTGTTTTCTAGAAATGAGTATCCAACAATAACAACAAACTAACAGCAACACAACAGCAACAACAACAACAACAACATCAACAGCATTAACATTAACAACAACAACACCATCAACAACAATACCACCACCAACAACAACAGCAACAGCAGCAACAACAACCACACCATAAACAACAAAAGCAGCAGCAGAAGCAGCAGAAGCAGCAACAATAACCACAACATTGGCGCTTGCAGCGCCGGGAGACGCGGAGAAACTCAGCCTCGAGAGCTAGTTCGCTACCCCACCCCCCTTTACTACCCGCTCCATCCTTTTGATGTTTTGAGATTCTCCTGTGGGCCTCTTTGGATCGCTTCTGTAGGCGCTCTCGTCAACACGATCCTCAGGCCTCAGGACGTGTGTTGGCCCAGCGTGTGCCTTCCCTGGTCGGCCCCACCGATGGCACTCAGCCCGTGCCGCCCGCGTCGCGTTTGATGGGCCTCGGTGGACGAGCACACGGTGGCGCTGACTTCCGTTCTGAGGATCATCGATCTTGGGCACTTCTGCTTTCTCCTCCTCCTTCTCCTCCTCCTCGTCCTTCTCATCATCCTCATCCTCCTCCCCCTCCTCCTTTCCTCCTCCTCCCCAATCTCCTCCTCCTCCCCCTCATCCTCCTCCCCATCCTCCTCCGCGCGCCTTGTCGGCCCAGCGCTGCTTGGAGTGGCGGTGGAGTGGGGGGATGCCGTGCAAGTAAACTTGCCAGAAATCTGAAAAGGACAACAGCCTCCACGGGGGGGGAGAGAAGGAGGAGGAGGAGGAGGAGGAGGAGGAGGAGGAGGAGGAGGAGGAGGAGGAGGAGGAGGAGGAGGAGGAGGAGGAGGGGAGGGGGAGGAGGAGGAGGAGGAGGAGGAGGAGGAGGAGGAGGAGGAGGAGGAGGAGGAGGGAGGAGGAGGAGGAGGAGGAGGGGAGGGGAAGGGGGAGGAGGAGGAAGAGGATGAGGAGGAGGAGGAGGAGAATAACAACCCGCTCATTGGAGTCGCTCGGACAGCTGTTGGGGGGCTTTCTCGAGGGGGGCCCCAGGGAGGGGCGCCCTCTCCGGGGCGGGGGCGCGCTCCGGATGCTCCTCGCGGGCGCCCCTGGGGGTCTGGCGTGCGTCTTGGACGGGGCACCCTCGGACCCCCCGAGCCTCCGAGGCGCCCGCCCTTCGCTGGCCTCGGAACTGGCCGGGTCGTTTTGTTGCACAGTCAACCCGCAGAGTAAGGATGGGCATCCTTGCCCCTTCGTCTGAGACTTCCTCACAAGTGATTCAGGAGTCGAGCTCTCGCCTCCATTCCGGCTACAGCTTTGGCCCAGACGGTCACGATATTTTGTATATAAAAGCCGACGAAGTTACACATGGCTGTGCTCACCCCTACCTACAGTCAACCTGCAGAGTAAGGATGGGAAACCTCTCCAAGGATACCCTTGCATCCTTGGCCCTTCGGCCCATCCTGAGCAGCTTTCGCTGGCCGACCTCGTTCGACAAACGTTCATGTGGGCCTCCAAGGCCCTTGCATGCTTTCCTCGCGTCCTTACAGTACGGGATGGCTGTACCGGTTCCGTTTCGAAGTTGTCCTTTTGGTTGCGTCGTTGTGTTTGTTTAGTGCGGTGCTCTTTTAATCTAGAGAATAAGTTCGTCTGTAAGGGTTGTACTTAGCAGCTGCGTTGCCTGATCCTGAGTCGGGCGGGCAGCCCGTGGCGTCCCGATGCTTCCCGTTACTTCCCATTGCCTCCCGTTGTCGTCCTTATCCGTATATTCCTGCCTCTTTCCTTATCTTTTTCCCAGCCTCATCCTACAGTGGGGGCCCATGCCAAGAAACACCTTGCTTGCCTCCAGGGCGCCCTGGGTTTCTATGGTTTCGATGATTTTGCTGTGGAAGGCGCGACGCTCCCACACTAAAAATCAATGGACGTCCTGGGGTCTCAGGGTTGGGGTAAGGTTTCTTGTGTACTGGTCCCGATCCCCCATCGTGGCCCCCCGTCGTGGCTCCCCATCGTGACCCCCAATCGTGGCCCCCATTGTAACTACGTAAAAGCTGGTAAACATTCCCTTTGCGGTGAGCGGTTCCTGCACCGCTATCGCAGTCAAGCGCCAAAGGTGTGGGATCGGTGCAAATCGCCCTACCATTTCCAAGGCCCACAAAACTCTCGCCCCTTCCATTCGCGCGGTCCCAATCCACTGGGTGCTGTCGCCGTCGAAGGAGACAGATCCTGAAGGACACCGGTCCTAGATCCTGGGGCGTTCCACAGGAATTGTCCCCTTCCTTCTGTTGGGAGCCCCCAGACCAGGTGGTGAGATATCAGGTGGTGACAGTGACCTGGAATCCCCAGAAAGTCGCCGCCAGGTTTTGGAACACGGGGTCACCGCTGGGTTTCGTGACTCCTGGACCCTCCAGCTTTCGGGACATCCTCGAAAAACCACACGGGTCCCCGAAACCGGGTGGTGACACTCAATCGCCCGAGACTCACCGCCAGGTGCTGTCACCACCACGTTTGGGGACTACCAATTCTGAGTCGCAGTGTGACGGTCCCTGGGCACTGGGCGACTGAGGACGACCGAAACCGGCGATGTCAACGTTGTTTTTTGGCTGAAGGGCGGTGTGTTCTCCCACGGCGGGCGCAGGTGCTGGCGCCATGTCTTCCGCGCCAGTGGCATCGGCGCCGTATCGCCGGAAGTGCAGGTACGGCGCGAACTGCTACCGCAGGAGCCCAGGCCACGTTGCCAACTATTCGCATCCTGGCGATCCAGATTGGGCAATGGATAGTGGTCCGTGCATTGCTGGAACAGCAGTGTACACCGACGGTCGTGGATCCCTGTTGGGCGTGATCGAGCAGGCGCCTGGTATGGTGCGATTTGTGGCTTTTGTTGCCGGCTGCGCCTGCATCTTTTTTGCCCTTCTCCGGCTTGTGAGTTTCTTTTCAATGCTCGACCCAGTGACGTACATATTGCAGGTGTACATTCTCATATTTGCGTCGGTCACTATGTTATTTGAGGCAAGCCCAGATGTGATTGAGATGTTGGGGCCTTTCAGCAAGTTCCAGGATTTGTTGATCCAGAACTGCCCCTTCCTCACAACAGCATTCGGCCGAGGCCTCTTCTATATCTTTCAAGGGACTCTGTGGTTTTCCCTCGGCAATGTCAATTTGTTGGAATGCGTGGCGGCGCTGTCTCTGTCTGCCGTGGGGGCAATACACATTATGGTGCACTACGGCTGCATTCCAGAGACCACCGCAGAGAAGACGATCGGTGCTATTCCTTCCTAGGTGACTCGCGCGGCAAGCCAGCACCCAACTCCGGAACTGCAGATGGACGCCGAGTTTCTCTGGACCAGCAAAAGATGCACCGCTTCGAAGCACAAGAAGCATCATCGGCGCAAAGATGTTCTTACGTCCGTGCGGATTTCTTGCATCGGCACTGGACCCCCCCCCCGCGCCGCCAGGGGGGGTCAGGGCCGAGCCAGGAAGTCCGCGCGGACCTCCGACAGCGTACGCCCGCGTGCAGGCAGGACGCCGAGAGAAGTGCCACTCTGGGCTCGCAAGGGGCTCCGGTTTTCGGGCCGCGCCTCAGATCTAGATCGGGGAGCCTATCCGTAGCTGAGGCTCGCCGTGGCCGAGGAAGGCCCCTTCGTTCCCTATTTCGCGTTCCCTAGAGAGCGCGTTTGTTTGTTTACCCTCTGGGCCGTAACGCGCGTTATGCCCCCTACCCTTCCCGCCCCCCCCACCCATCCCCACCCCCATAACGTAACGCCTCCCCCCTTTGTGCGCCCCCCGCACTGCGTCTGGCACCACAGTCGTGGGGGGGTGCGCTACGTCGTGCCCCCTTCCCGTCCCCCCCCTCCCCCATGACGCTCGTTATGGCCGCACATAAAAACATGCGTTCCTCTGGCAGCACGGTGACTGCTTAGTTGTGCTCCCGCAGCTGCCAGTGGTGGCCCTGGCCCACGGAGGCCCCAGCTTCTCTGCAGAGAGGGCCCAGGTGCCGCTCCAGGGGCGCGCGCCCCTCCCGAGGGCCAAGGGGGGGGGGCTCCGAGGTGGCGCGGCAAGCGGGAGGCACCACGATGATCGGTGGCCTCTCGGAGGAGCAAGAACGGCATAGAACATGAGCTTTCGGAGCTCTGCGCGGATTTCAGCTGGAGGCACCACGATGATCGGTGGCCTCTCGAAGGAGCAAGAACGGCATAGAACATGAGTTTTCGGAGCTCTGCGCGGATTTCAGCTGGAGGCACCACGATGATCGGTGGCCTCTCGAAGGAGCAAGAACGGCATAGAACATGAGCTTTCGGAGCTCCGCGCGGATTTCAGCTGGAGGCACCACGATGATTGGTGGCCTCTCGAAGAAGAAGCAAAAAGAATGAACATGAACTTTCGGAGCTCCGCGCGGATTTCAGCTGGAGGCACCACGATGATCGGTGACCTCTCGAAGAAGAAAAAAGGCATGAACATGAACTTTCGGCGTTCCGCGCGGATTTCAGCTGGAGGCACCACGATGATCGGTGGCCTCCCGAAGAAGACAAACCAGCACAGAACATGAACTTTCGGCGTTCCGCGCGGATTTCTCGGATCCGCGCTGGGCCCCCCTGGCGGCGCCTCCGGCGCCGCCCTTGGCGCCGGAGGCGCGCCAGGGAGGGGGGTCCAGGTCAGATCCAAGAAATCCGCGCGGAGCGCCAACAGCTTATGCTTATGCTGGTTTTCCTTTTCAGGGGGTGAGGACCTCATTGGGCCTCGGAAACAGTGGCGTAGCTGATTTTACCGTTTCTTGGAAGCTGTTTCTGGAGTGCGGAAACGGTGACAAAGCAAAAGTTTCCGGAAACGGTAAAGAGGAACGGATCCATGATCGGAAGTGGAACCGGGGCCGAAGAAACAGACGCGACGGCACCAGAAAAATAAGACAGAGCTGGAACCAGCAAAAAAGCATGCAGAACGGAACCAGCAAAATACAGGGCCTTCCTCCAGGAGGGGCGAGGAGGAGGAGGAGGAGCAGCTGGGGGGAGGAGAAGGAGGAGGGGAACGAGGAGGAGGAGGAGGAGGAGGAGGAAGAGCAGAGGAAGGAGGAGGGGAAGGAGGAGGAGGAGGAGGAGGAGGAGGAGGGCGGGGAGGAGAAGGAGGAGGGCCCATGAAGGTGAGGCTTACATCTTTACACGGAATGAACACTTGACGCCCCCTCTCCCCCCTTGCCCCCCAAGCCCAATGCCTTGGCATCGCTCGGACGCGTGCATGTTTTCTCGGCGAGAACCATCGCAGAGCCTTCGGGGTCATATTTCGACAACAATGCACGCACGAAACCACAAAATGTACTGGGAATCGATGTCCGAGCGATGGCGAGATGCTCAATGGCGCGCGCGGGGGGCGCGGTCTGCGGACGCCGGCGAGACATATGATGTGACAAGTCGTTTGTTTTGGTATCGATCTTGAACTGCTTCACGCTTCGCGTGTCCCCGCCAGCCTATTCAGAAGCCCTGCCGAGGAGAGCTGACGGGAAAGGGACGCAGAGACATCCAATGGGAAAAACGTACGACTCGAGTACTCTGGAACTCGGGTTTGCCGGCGCCTTGTGACGACCGTGTCCTGGGTTTGGGCGGTCCAATTTTCGTAGGATGTTCGCCGCGGGACCTCGCGTCAAATTCCAGACGTTTCGCGTAACCCCACCAGGTTGTCAATTTGTAGGCCCGCGCTCCAGACTTACGACTCGCCGCTTGCGCTCTCGCCCGCGGCCGCGACCAAAAAAAAAGTAACCCCACCAGGTGTTCGTGCAATCTAGGCTGTTGCTAGTTAGCTGTAGCTTTGGACGGCGCGCGGCACTTCCATTTGCTCTCGCAATCGAACGAGCAACCCCACCAGCCCATCCAGAAACTATGCCCAGGCGAGTTGCCCCTGATCAGGCATGTGGGCCAGATGCAGTGGAACACAGGTTGGAACACAGTGATACCCCAAGAGGAAGAGGATGGAAGTGCAATGCGAAGAGGAGGAAGAGAGGAGGAGGAGGAGGAGGAGGAGGAGGAGGAGGAGGAGGAGGAGGAGGAGGAGGAGGAGGAGGAGGAGTGAGGAGGAGGAGGAGGAGGGATGGGAGGGGAGGAGGGAGGAGGGAGGAGGGGAGGGAGGAGGGAGGAGGAGGAGGGAGGAGGAGGAGGGAGGAGGGAGGGGAGGAGGGAGGAGGGAAGGAGGGAGGAGGGAGGAGAGGAGGGAGGAGGGAGGAGGGAGGAGGGAGGAGGGAGGAGGAGGAGGGAGGGAGGGAGGAGGGAGGAGGGAGGAGGAGGGAGGAGGAGGAGGAGGAGGAGGAGGAGGAGGAGGAAGGAGGGTGGGAAGGGAGGGAGGGAGGGAGGGAGGGAGGGGAGGGAGGGAGGGAGGGAGGGAGGGAGGGAGGAGGAGGGAGGGAGGGAGGGAGGGAGGGAGGGAGGGAGGGAGGGAGGGAGGGAGGGAGGAGGGGAGGAGGAGGAGAGAAAGTGGAGGAGGAGCAGGAGAGAGAAAGTTGAGGAGGAGGAGGAGGAGGAGGAGGAGGAGGAGGAGGAGGAGGAGGAGGAGGAGGAGGAGGGAGGAGGGGGGGAGGGGAGGCGGAGGAGGGAGGAGGGAGGAGGAAGAATAGGCGGATGATGAGGAGGAGAAGAGGGGGGAGAAGGAAGAGGAGGGAAAGAAGAGCGACCAGAAGGGCCAGAGGCTCCTTGAATGCCTTTCAGAGTCTCCTCGGATGTCTCTTGGAATCTTTTTGGAGGCCTCTTGGAGCGTTTTGGGGGCCTCTTGGCAGTTGGGGCCTCTTGGAGCGTCTTGGGTGCTTCGGGGAGCCTTTGGGGCCTCCTGGGGTCTCTTGGGAGCCTCTTGGGCGCCTCTTGGGGCCTCCTGGGCGCCTCGTGGCGCCCTCTTGGGGCGCTCTTGGGAGCCTTGGGAGCGCTCTTTGGTATTTTGCTGCAATGTGCACTTCGCATCGTTTTTGGACAGGGGTTGTGGAGGGTGTTGGCAGGGTGGGCCCCGCGATGTGCATTTTGCATTGTTTTTTGTCAGGGATGGTGGGGGGGATGCCCGCATGGTTCCAGGTTGGCTGCTGGCCAGGTGGGGGAGGGAGTGTTATTAATTGGGAACAGTGATCAAAACACCCACCCGCCCGCAAGCCGTCGAGCTCACTCCCACCCACCCTGCCTGCACATAACTAACACCCGAGCATGAGCCTGTTCAGCGGTCGTCTTTGGATGGGCAGCTACTGGGAACCAAAGCCGGCCCCAGGTGCGCGACGTTTGGGCGAGGTGCGCCACGCGTGCCAGGGGCGTCACGCGCGCCAGGCACCCCTGGGGCCCGAGCGTGCCAGGCACGCCTGGTGCGCCAGATGCGCCACGTGCTCCGAGTGCGCCAGGTGTGCCGCACACTGCAGCCGCGCCAGGTGCGCCGCGTTCGGGGCACGTGCAGAATGCGTCAGGTGCGCCTGCGCACGTGACAACGCACATATCGGAAAACGTGTCGGCCCCCGCCATCCTGGTCGAAAACCGATGCCCATCAGTGTGTCTGCTGTGCCTGCGCACAGCAGGCCACGCGCCATCACCCCTGCCGTCCCTGTCAAAAACCATTTTGACAGTGATCGCGGGGTGGCCGCGCATGATCCAGAATAAGCCGCGAGGTGCATGTTGTTTTGTGTTTTGTGTCAGGGCTGGTAGCCCTGCGCACAGCAGGGAATATGCTGTCACCCCCTCCGTCCCTGTCAAGCCCAAAAGTATCCACACCAGCCCAAAAGTATCCACACCAGCCCATCCAGAAACGATGCCCATAAGAGCTGACGAGGGGAGAGAGGAAGAGACACGCATAGTCAAACAGCGTGGGAGGCTTGGGAAGTCCCGTGGCCATCTCGACCCGTCTTGGAACGGTTTTGGGGCCGCTTGGAGCATCTTGGGAGCCATCTTGAGCCAGGCTGGGCTATCTGAGCCATCTTGGAAGTCATTATGGGCTCTCCGAGGCTGCTCGGGGGCCTTTGGGGGGCCTTTCGGGTGCCTCTTGGGGTTTCTTGGGGCGCTTTTTGGGCCCTCTTGGGAGCATATTGGGAGCCCTGGAGGGCCTTTTGGAACAATATTGGGAGGTTATCGGTCAAAAAGAGGGGGTTCCTTTATGTTGGTCCCCCCCATCGGGGCCACGATCCGAGTGAATGGTGGCAAACATTGGCCCTCCCAGGGGCCGAAACAGGATCCTCTAACTCGTCGCGACCCCCCCCGTCCAGGCCCAGGGGAGAGGGTACGGGGAGGGGTCCTGACCCCCTCCCTGCGTGCAAGCCGTCTCGCTCACTCCCACCCGCCCTCCCAACACATACGTAGCACCCGAGTCTGGCCCGAGGGGCCAATCCGCCGCAGCCGCCGCCTCCGCCGCCGCCGCCTCCGCAGCCGCAGCCGCCGCCGCCGCTGCCCGCCGCCGCCGGCCGCCGCCACCGCCGCGGTCGCCGCCGCCGCCGCCGCCGCCGCCGCCGCGCCGCCCGCCGCGCGCCGCCGACGCCGCCCCCGCTGCCAAGTCGCCGCCGCCGCAAGCC